TATGGCCCAAAGTGTAATTGCACCATCATATGATAAAGAACCATCATAAGGTAAAGAAAAGAGCACTTTCATGATGAATTAGATGAAAATGTCTTAAAATAATTTTGACAATAGAGAAGGTGGCTACGCTGCTTTCATTTTGAAACATTTTATTTCCTGTCTTCTGTCTCTGTGTCTTTAAAGTAATTCTTTCTGTTGATTCTTCGCCTCCAAACCCCTGTGATTTTTAACGCCGTCTTGTGTCTGCTGCACAGATGTAATCACTGCCAGTCTCTTTGGAACCTGATGTACTGTACAGTACATGTTGAGTATCTGATTATGATACAATCGTGATTTCACGGGCAACTGGGTACTTAAAGGCTATTATCAGTTCCAGATCGGATTTAAGGACACAAGAACACCTGATACATGTATCTCTGCTGTCTTCACAACCTTTCCACTGGCTCAGACACAGAATACAATTAGAAACAAAAATACTTGGGTATTTTAGAAATGCAGAAAGTCTCTCTCTTGTTCTGGCCATCTTTGTTAGACTGTCACATCTGACAAACCTGCACCTCTCATGTCTTTGTTATATATAAACACGTTATTGTGCAACACTGGAACCGTGGCGTCAGCCAAGAGTCGCCAAGGAAACGGTGTGACCTGCTTCACCTGCCTGTAATGTTTTTATCAGCCGTGGGTGAAAAATGACAAAACCTTTCTGCACGGTGTTCACTGACAACAGCGGCTTAGCTCTGAGAGCTTATGGATAAACATTATCACAAAATACAAACTCTGGAGGCAGAGTTTAAAAAAATGTCTTTAAATCATTTGCTGAGGGCACTTAAGATATTCCTGTTCTAGGAATCAGCTGACTCTCACAACCAAACTTGACAACATTTCTGTCCTCAGGACAGCACAAAATGTACTGAACTGATTCAACATCAGGTGTTTTGAAAGTTTTGAGGATGGCTTGGACTTAATGTTAGTATATTTGCAAGATTGAAGGACAATTAAGGTTTCATTTCTTCCATTTTTATGTTAACATACCTGTTAATGATAGACTAAACCTGTATTTGTTTTCAAAATGAAGATTTAACAAATTTCCTCCCAGTAACAAAGAGCTGAAGACCTCATGTTTGACACCACCTTATATTGTTGCATTCCAAGTCTAAGCTCCTTGCTGTCCTCTACTTCTCTACTCCTCTCTCCTTTCTTTGCCCTCTCATTCCTTCCGTCTCATCCTCTCCAATTTTGTCCCGTCCCCTCCCCCTCACAGACAGCCTATTATAAACATGGCTAATACTCAGACTGGAACCAGGGTGTTGTGAGTAGAGTGGTTGGTAGAAGTGACATCTCAGTGTCCTGTAATAATGAAAAGAATTGCCACGTAAGATGTGTTAGTAATAGTTCTAATTTTAGGCTTTAATATTTTGGTTTCATTTTTTCTTAAATACTGTATTACTTCCCTGTCTGTGTTCTAAGCAGTATCTGTAACCATCGTTACACGAAGCCCCAGGAAGTAGGTTTGGTCAAGAGCTGCGGCAGTGATGGTGGTGAATTAAAAGAAGTCTGTTTGACGTCGTTTATGGATTAATCTAGCTTGTTGAAGTGCACACACGTACAAACACACTGGACTAATGTAGTTAATGGATGGATAAGAACACTCTTGTTGCCTCCTCGCCCTCTCACTCATTCACAACGCATGCACAACACACACAATCTCAGTATCATCTTTCACGTCCTGCGGAGGTCATAAAACACAGTTGCCCGTTCTGATACCCCTCCCCTTGTCTTTCAGGACCTCCTTGCACACACACACACACACAAACACCCCCCCACATGCACACACACGCGCGCTTCATTCCATTATGGGTCCGTGGTTCCACATTTAATGTAACCAATTACTTAAGCCTCTCTTTCCTCCGGCTACTGCATTACGTCAGCCTTGGCAAGCTGTATTTTTAGCTGGGAGCCATTGGCCTTCTCTCTCCCTTTGGCTCTCTGTATTGAGTTACCACCTTGTTGCTGAAAGAACCCAGTGGGCGCCTAACCTTTCGGCCAATCACAAGACATCAAACCACTGAGTACTACATGACCAAAAGCAGATCGGAGGAAAAATGATGGAAAGGTTGTCCAATAGGTTTCTGACAGTGTTGATGCATAATAAAACAGGGAACAGTACAAGAGTGTACAGTATTTCAATGAAATAAAGCCATTCTGTGTCTATATCGCCTACTATGGTTAGTTCAGAGTTCAATGGATATTTCAAATATAATTATTATAGGTTTGTTTTTAATACAATATTTAAGAGTTGTCAAAATGCATTTAATGACACCCCCTCCCCCCCGCGATGGAGACAGCAGTGACTCTTCATATGCCATACATGATCAAAATGATGACGTGGATTTCGATTGTTTTTATTGGTAAATGTTGCTTTTGAGCGATATGTATGAAGCCAGAGACTGCACAATGGTCATATACTCCGAGTTTGAAGATGTTGCTATAGAATGCGGCCTGTGGTGAAAGCACGAGTGCCAAATGTTCATGCTAGCTAACTTAGCAATGCTCCCAGACACCAGAAATTATAAGTTAGAATGAGGGGAAAAACCGTGAGTGCAGTTATGAAAAAAACACATTCATGTCTATTTCCATTTTTTCCTTTCCATACTCCCTCTCATTATTTCTGCCTTTAATAGCCATGTGATACTTATGGGAGCAGTTTCTCTGATGCTAGCCCTGCACAGCTGAGGCATGAGGATGCAGTGCTGACAGCTAGACCCCATGCTGTTAGGGAAACTCACAGAGGGTCAAAGAAAGCCTGGAATGTTTTTTCTACAGTGGAACAGCCAAGCGTTTGTCTGTTGGAGTGAACGGTGTAAAAACCAACAGCTTGACAAACACTTCAGAACACACTCAGCTTCAGACCTTCACACAGGCATCTACATTGAGATTCTGGTGGTCAGTTGTGGTCACCCTCTGTTCCTCAAATGTTTTTTTCCCCAGTCCTAATCACCGATTTAATCTGTTCTGAGTACTTTACATCCCGGGCCATTCCTGGTTCAAAGCAGCCAATCTGTTGTTTCCCCCTCTCACGTGCTAATCCCATTCATTCGCCAAATAAACGGGATCAGCAGGAGAGTGTCAACAGTGCATTTGAATACACCCCATGTGAAGTTGAGGTTAGGGCAAACAAAGGCAGACCCCAAAAAGTGGAAGACGCTGCCCGAGATATAGGTTACCATGGCACCAAGGGATTTGATTGACACAGAGGTCACCATAGGGTAGCACTTGGGCTGATGGAAATTAATTCAGTACGGAAATGCACTTTGTTAGCATTAAACTAGCATGTGTGGAGAAAATGTCAAATACTGTACATACGTTTGTTCGCAATTGAACCCTGACAACACGGTCTTGTTGTTCAATTGAGATTTTTTGTTATATTTTTTGTTGTTGTTTGTTTGTTTTTTGGGTGGTTGTACAG